TATTTTTTATAATATATTACAATCGAGTTTTAATGATTATCAGATATAATGTGAAAACAAAGAATGCATTAATGAGTCGATTTAAAAATCAAATAACAAATTGATTTTTTAAACAAATTAATCACTGATTCTAAAGCTAAATACTTAACAATCAAGACATAGTGTAATTAGAATTTAGCATATGCCAGCATGTGTTCTATTAAATACAGTACCTAGTATATATGCTAGCATTTGCAGAACTCTAGATGGTAGTATTTGAATATATGATAGTATTGTACTGACAGATATATGAAAATCATAATACACTATATATAGCTTATAAAAAAAAAAATTTATCAAACCAAAATTAATTTTCCTAAAACTTGCTATAATCCAAATACAAAAAATAAAACAATGCTTACACTTATCCTAACACTAACCATTAAAAAAGAGTTATTTTTAAAAATTAAATTTTACAAATACATACTATCAAAAATATAGTATAATTTTTGTGTTCCTAGTTTTATTTGTATATATATGTAGATTATATAATAGCTTTCAGATATAGCAAAAGTAATACATCATGCTCTGGCTATGAAATATATTATATAATACTATATAACACTAACTTTTAAAATTGATTTCAATATTATGGCCTTGAGATTATTTTCTATTCAAATATAGCAAAAAAAGAATTAATATAATATGAATGTTTAATCTAATCCTAAAATATAAAAAATTAAATGTTAAAATATTAAAAAAGAAAATCAAATACTATTCTAATACAGTATTAAAAAAAAAACTAAATGCTATTTCTCCATTGATATATATATAAAATCTTTATTTGTCTCAATATATTACAAAAAGTACATTAGTTCATATAATATTATTTTTTTCCTGAATTAGATATTTTTTGCAGACATGTACTTTGATAATAATTAGGTTGGTGACAGAATCCACAAACTTTTGATTTTGATTTTTTTAGTTTGATTATCCTCTTGTGCATCTTTGATACATTTTTTGCATAGTGCTTCTTTTCTAACATGATATGCAGGATCTAAAACATTTTTAACAGGAATCAATTGTTCATTACTGCCTTGTACAATGAAAACCTCCTTTTTATTATAATAATTTTTAAGAATTCTAAGTTTTCTTTTTTACATTTCTTCTTCACATTCAAGTTTCTTTTTTTCAATAAAGTTTTTTAATAAATTATCTAATTAATTATTGCTATCATTATCACTTTGCAGCACAACTGCTTGTTTTGTGAGACTCATTATTTTATTAAAACAAATCTTTTTTTCTAAATGTTTATAGAACCGATTTTCTTGAAGATCATCAAGTTGAAGTAAATTC